GCGGCTAGGCCATGGGACCATATTTTGATTCATAATGGATATCCAAAAAATTTCTTTAATCTTCTGGAATATTAGTTCAATTTAAAAAAAAGAAAAAAATCAATCAACAATCAGAGACTGCCACAAGAGACAAGCTTATTCCGGACGGCACATGATGATCTTCTTCATCTTTGTTTTTTTTCCACGTGGAAAACTCCAGCTTGACCCTTTCATCCCTTCACTAGTATGCACTGTCAAGTGTAGCAGATAAAATATCGGTAAAAATATAAACGGAACTTCAGTTTTAACTTGAAAATGTTCTATAGCCAAGTATTACACAGTTGAAATTTTAAAATCCTAAATCATAGGAAAGTCCATCATTATAGGATCAAACAAATGGAAAATACTTGCAGAAAAAAGCAACATGTGAGGTACTGTTCGCTGATAAGTCAATTCCTTTCAAAAGCTACACTAAAATAAAAGAACGACAGAGGTTCTGAACAGGTAAGGAGAAAGTCTGTATCGACAATCCAATTTTTTGTCAGAAGCTACAGTAGAAGAAGAGGGGTCAATAAAAAGCAATGCAAATTTTTCTAACATAGATGTGAATTAACATCACCAATACTGCCACATCTCTTAGTATTTCTAGAATATCCAATCTTCTGACATTGATGTCAGGTACGGTGTCATGCCTCCTGACTTCTGGTAAATGAGCATGGTGTAGACAGGCGGACATTATTCATATTCAAAATCAAACATTTTGTGCATAACAACCACAGTACAGGAAGAACATAAAGTATAAAATCCAAAAAATCAGATTGGTCGAATATCAAGATCACTTAACATTTGGAGTCTTCTAACAAAAGAGATAAAAAACTAGTTTATTGATAGGAGCCTCACCCGTTCATAGGTTTCATCCAAAATGATTGCCCCCGTTAATGGAACCGAACCTTGTAAGAAGTGAAATCCTTGAATATGTCGTCTATGTGAGCAACATAAGGTCTATACATCACAACTGGTGAAAACTGAGATATATTAAGGAAACAAAGGGTAAGATATAAAGTATAATAACATGCAGAAAATAGAAACAAGCACAAGAAGAAGACAGAAAATGGTCAATTCCGCTCAAGATATATATACACAATCTAAATCTGGCTGCACAAATCTTTTTATAGCACCCTGAATTCACATGCAGTGAATCATCCTTAATTAGCCAAAAAAAATTTTCCTCTTTGAATTAACAAAATTACATACAGCAAAACAATCTTAAGTGGCTTTACCTTGTCCTTATTGTGCCATTTTCAAATCTATTCACTTTCAGACAGCAATTTCTTAACCGGAAATACTTGTCTTATCCACACAAAAATCAAACAGTCTATCATCAGTGGTAAAAGTTCCTTTTAATTTTATTTGAAAAGCATAAAAAGATATGTCAAAAAACTGAAAGCAAAATTCAGATCACACCACTTGCTCAACTCTATAGTCCAGTTTCTTGGGTGTTCTCCTTTCAAACAGTCAATCAAGCTTACTAAAAAACTATGTCTGTAAACCTGACAAGTATTCTGATTGTACTATTGCCAAACCTTAAATATATACCACACAGTCTGGCTCTACACTCAAACTGGGCAACACATACAAGAACGCAAAGAAAGAGAAAGGCATCATAACAAGCAATCAATAGCATTTGAATGAGAGGTCACAGAGGTACATATGTGTGATATCTGATGCCTAAACAATTGCTTGTGCTCTAGCTTATTATGAGCTAACACAACGGTGAAGAGGTTGAAGATAATCGTGGATAAGATACGGTATTAATGTGACAAATGAAAATCAAATTATTAAAATAAAGTCCAAAATAAAAACAGTGGTAAAGGATACGTAATGAAGTGAACTCCTTCAAAGTGAATGACTTCAGTGATGGATATTTTCCATGAATTACCTCGTAGAACCAATGTGCGTACTCCACAAGGAACAAAATCCTCTCAAATGATTGTTGGTCTTCCTTGGCACATTTACACAAACCGACTGTAGCACAATCATTTGACCAAAAGATAGAATGAAATAAAAAAAATGGAATATGAAAAGAAAAAGAAAACAAGGCGAAAGATAAACAAGCCGCTATATGCAATAATATAAGTGCATCGCAACAACAAAACCCAGATACCATGCTAATGCTTATAAAGCAAAGACTATATGAAGATGTCTTGCTTACTTATGAGAAGAGTAAAAAATTCTGAATAGCAAATCAACAAATCCCAACAGTTAAGTATTTTAAAAGTTCTCAACTCTCCATTTTACTATAAGAACCCATAGAAAGAACTCAACAAGTAACAGTTTGTAAGTGATCATCCTAAATGTAGATTTTAAACATTACTATTCAACCCTTGATTAGCCAAGCTTTACAACTAATTCTGCTTGTTATTCACGATATAGCAAGCCAATTAGCTTATTACGTCTATAAATAAAACTTGTCGTATCAACTCTTCTAACGATTGATCGATTAAACAGCGCTATTCTATACATTCCAAAGCAGACAAACGAGAATAAATCAACATTAAACATTTTCGAAATAAAAATCTGAGCAACGAAGTAGTTGACAAAGAGCTGAGCACAAGAATCAAAGCGTGAACGAAGAACAATAAGTACCTGCAAAGATCGTCGAGAAGTTCTTGAGGAGGAAGGCCGCCGTTTTTATACGGCACGCTTGAGGATCGATGGAGACTTGACATCGCCTATACGAAGAAAAACCTAAAAATCGAAAATAAACCCTAAGTGTTTTTTGTGTTTTGTTCTCTATGTTTTTGTTTTGTACTCTGAAAATTTGGAGAGTGAAAAGGGCAGTGAAGGCTCTCCTCTCTCTATGGTTTTGGGATCTGGAGTGAGAGCAGAGGAAGCAACGAAGTGATGTTTTTAACTTCTGGAGCCTCTCTCTCGGTTCTTTTTTTCTTTTTCTTTTATTTTTGTGTTATATCTGACCGGATTATTGCTGAACCGGAATAAATCGGATGAATGTCCCAAATTTATATTCGAATGATATCGTTCGCATTTTTCAGATTTTACCGACTTTCAAAATTTGAAAATTATATCATAGATACCCTTTGCCTTAAATAGTTATGTTGTCATTTGCGGTAATAAGTTAAAAATAACTTTAGTCTTATAATAAAATGTTGAAATAAATAGTAATCTTAGTCTTATAAGAAAGTGTTATGCAAACCAACTAAATGTAATAGAGTTCAGCTAAGCAATATTGTGATAAAGTTTTTAAACTTTGAACATCCATTTGATAACACAAAGTGGTATTAGTAATATATTTCTCAAACTTTGAGGTTATTAGTAACAACTATAAAGAGTCATTTAGTTGATAAATTTGGGAGATCTCTGAGGCCTGGAAGGGCTCAGATGTGGAACACCCGAAGGAGCTCTTCAGGGGCCTTAGAGGCTCAAGAGCCACCTTTGATGGGTGGCAAACATGACCATGCATAAGCACTCAATTTATAGATAACTTTTCTCGCATGCAACTAAAAATGGTAAAGTCTATCATGTAATGGGATTTGAATGATGAAAGAAGGCAGAAAAAAATGGTGTTACTGGGTCAAGATCTTTTATGAGTACCTTTGAAAACAACAAATAAATGTTTGATAAAATAGGCTTGAGATATGTCATTTTTGGATTCTTATTGGAGTAAATAATCATTATGGGCAGTCTAGATTATTGGGTCGTTCTGGTTTTGCTTAAAGATCAAACAATTGAGCCGTGCCATTCATTTGGGTTATTCAAATTCAAGGCATGCTATTGAATGTAGTTACCCACCAGGAGACTTTTGACCGCAAACACCCAAAATAATTATACAGCAGAAAATAATAAAAAAAGATTAAAGCCAACATTACAGTGTGGAGTGAATTGAATTCATCCTTTTTCATAAAGTCACAATAATTTGTATAATCAAGTTGAGTTTTCATTTGCATGTCATGAGAGACCAAAACTGTACTCAAATCACAAACAGAAAGCAAAACGAAGAAATACATGATGACTGCCCTACTGCTCAAATTATATCGTTTGTTCTCCAATTACATAAAGCTAATCTAATTTCTGAGAGCATTCGAAGTATTTCACTTGGCATTTGTGAACAGTGCTTGCAGCTTTTTCACAAATGGACCAGCTATCAAGCAGATCTTCAAGTAGATTGATTAATGTGCATCTGTTTTTTAGCTAAGACTTCTCTTCTTATGTTTGGCCAGAGATTAATGTCACGAAGCTTTTTGTCTGGCCGCAAAAGGGATTTAAGACACCTTTTTTTGTAGTTAGTTTTTTCTACTATAGTTTATTTTTTCTACTATAATTTATTTTTTGTGATATGAACAGAACAATCGTGTGTTCTACCAATATTACAACTCCCATAGAACTATAATGTTGGCTATATGTTATTTACTTCAAGTCAAGATTTTGGGCTTAACACTCAAATATAAGATCTCGGCCAGTTTGATGCAATATGGCATTTACCCGATTAGTATTTTGTGACTATACCAATTGTATAATGTTTGTCGGATTATCAATTTCTGTGACTTTCGTGGTTTTTTTTTCACGTTTTGATTGTTTGATACTTTCTACCTTTGCTTGGGTATGCCCCTCGTTTTTTTTTTTTTTTTTCTTTGTACTGTGATTTTACCATATGTATTTAATCCTTACCTTATTCAAATAAAAATTAATGAGAAATACTCAATTATCAAGCAGCTTTCACAAGTGGCAGTTGTACTTCAGGTGTCAAACATCAATAATGTATTTCTGCAGATCCATCTAGCTCGACTCATGATAAGTTAGCCATTTCGGTAAGATTTTGCTTCCCCTAAAACTGCAATTTACAAAATGCACAACAAAAGTAATAGATGCCAAGATAGACCAACTTCTGTGTTGACCTAAAATGATCAACAAAACTGAACAAGCACTTCTCTCAATTTTCTTCATTTTTAAAGTCTATAACTCAAAATGTGCCATCACAATCAACAAGGATCAGTTTAGAGTCGTGTGAAAGAGACTACATTCTTCGGTTTAACTAACAGAAATGAAAATAACAAAACACCATTTCCACAATAGCGTTTCTGTACAAAATATACACAGCAACCAAACCTGATAATCTGACAAACAATATACAGCTGGTACAGCTACCAATTCACCATGAAAGGTGGTGGTTAATGCTCTCCGTAATACAGGTGAAACGGTAGAAACCAAAGCAGCTATGTGATCGTTTGAAATTTACATTTAAAAAAAAAAAAAAACACAAAGTTTGACCTTTAAGTTGAGAAACCAGCTTCCATTGCTTGCAAGATAGCAGCAGTATTGAATCTAAAGTTCCTGAAGCTTTTGCCCGGGCCAGTGTCCGGAGGCTGAGAATCAGATGAAGGTTTTGTTAATTGATTCTCCAGAATCATTGTGTTACTCCCTATAGAACTGCTCTTGGCTTTCCACACACAGATCCCTTCACAAAATGGAAAAATAACACAACTAATAACATTGTAAAAATAATTAGCAAGCCACCCAATTTTCTATGAAACGGTTAAAAGACAACTCTAAATTCTTCTGAACATAAAATTGCATAAACAAGCATTTTACTTATTAGCCTAAGTAGAAAGATTGTACTGAATTCAAAACAAGTATCAAGCATGAAACCATAAATTCATATAGCTTTCCTCTCCAAATTTTAATCCTCTGTATCTAATCTCCTTTCCAATAAAAACAATATAGACCTTTCCACAATTTAACCTTCTATATTTGGTTTCCAAGACACAAGAGAAGAGATGAGTAATCAGAACCCAAAAACAGGGTAGAGAGTGGAGTTTGGAGTAGCTTTTGACAGGTTGCAAATTCCACCCCCGCCCTATGGTTTATCAGAAAATACACAAAACTCCAACTCTAGGACAGATGCAATGATCTGTCATTGGAAGTTGCAGCCAAAATAAAATAAAGACAGCTGACAGTCTTAACATATTTTTAGTAACAAAGATGGACACAACTCTGTTTAACTTAATTAGAGTTTTTCAAATGAACTAATACATGTACCTGAGGAATATGAGAGATAGATATATAACTTGTTATACCATCATATAATTTTCACCCTCGAGGAATATGAGAGATACATTTATAACTTGTTATATCATTATACAGTTTTCACCCTCTTTCCAATCCATGGCATAAAACCTAATATTAATACTCTACCAAAATCAAAATTTCACAGGAAAAGGAGAAGGGGAAACCTTTGAGAGGCATATCAGGTTTTGGAGCAATAGGGGGCTTATGCTTTGAAATCCATATTTTCAAAGATCTGCATAAAGATATCATAAACCTATTAAAGAGCCAATTGCAAAAACCTGTCTGAAAAAAACCAAGTTGAATACCAGGATACCCACGCCAAAAAAGGAGCCACCATGTAAAGCTTCAGACCAGTGATCCCATGGGATATCACATCTTCAGTAGCTGGCTGAAGATCATCAAGCCGATGCCATGCAATTTCCTGCAAATAACAGGAGGCATGCTTATGAAGAAAGACTCAAAGATAGGAAAAGAAAACGGACTACATGGTTTAAAAAAACAAAACCAGTCATATGTTAATGAGAAAAACTGTATGATGTATATTTTTCTCAAGTCCTCAAGGAAGCCACTCAAAGAAAAGAAAAAAAAATTATATGAAGATTGAAACTATCGAATATAAATTAATTGACAAAAATATAGCATACACTGATCTCCTTTTTTGTTTGAGGGGCAAAGAAAGTATTATCTCTGACACCAGCAATTATATAGAGCCGCACCCTCTGCTGTCCAAATATCAGTTCAATGTAGTCATCTTTGTTAAGAAGCATTGAAACATCAAAACCTGTTTCCTCCAGGACCTGCATATGCCGCAGTAAGTAGGTCAAACAATATTCAGAGTACAGTAAGAGAGACCCAGGTTAAACCAATACTGGCCCATATCCTCCTCAAAAACCTTAAAAACAAGTATCCATGCTGTTGAAAAAAAGCTTGGAACAGAAACCAGCAGAATCATGTCTATTTCCCCAAGTTAGAAAACAAGCGATGGATCAGTTAATTTCTATATTTATGAATTTCTAGCACTGAGATTATGTCTACCAACCAGCATAAATTAAGAGAACTTCTTTCTATTATCAGCGGCTAGGCCATGGGACCATATTTTGACTTCATAATGGATATCCAAAAAATTTCTTTAATCTTCTGAGAATATTAGTTCAATTTAAAAAAAAGAAAAAAATCAATCAACAATCAGAGACTGCCACAAGAGACAAGCTTACTTCTCGGACGGCACATGTATGATCTTCTTCATCTTTGTTTTTTTTTCCACGTGGAAAACTCCAGCTTGACCCTTTCCATCCCTTCACTAGTATGCACTGTCAAGTGTAGCAGATAAAATATCAGGTAAAAATATAAACGGAACTTCAGTTTTAACTTGAAAATGTTCTATAGCCAAGTATTACACAGTTGAAATTTTAAAATCCTAAATCATAGGAAAGTCCATCATTATAGGATCAAACAAATGGAAAATACTTGCAGAAAAAAGCAACATGTGAGGTACTGTTTCGCTGATAAGTCAATTCCTATTCAAAAGCTACACTAAAATAAAAGAACGACAGAGGTTCTAGAACAGGTAAGGAGAAAGTCTGTAATCGACAATCCAATTTTTTGTCAGAAGCTACAGTAGAAGAAGAGGTGTCAATAAAAAGCAATGCAAAATTTTTCTGACATAGATGTGAATTAAACATCACCAATACTGCCACATTCTTCTTAGTATTTCTAAGAATATCCCTAATCTTCTGACATTGATGTCAGGTACAGTGTCATGCCTCCTGACTTCAGGTAAATGAGCATGAGTGTAGACAGGCGGACATTATTCATATTCAAAATCAAACATTTTTGTGCATAACAACCACAGTACAGGAAGAACATAAAGTATAAAATCCAAAAAATCAGATTGGTCGAATATCAAAGATCACTTAACATTTAGGAGTCTTCTAACGAAAAGAGATAAAAAACTAGTTTATTGACAGGAAGCCTCACCCGTTCATAGGTTTCATCCAAAATGATTGCCCCTGTTACTGGAACTCGAACCTTGTAAGAAGTGAAATCCTTGAATATGTCGTCTATGTGAGCAACATAAGGTCTTAATACATCACAACTGTTGAAAACTGAGATATATTAAGGAAACAAAGGGTAAGATAATAAAGATATAATAACATGCAGAAAATAGAAACAAGCACAAGAAGAAGATCAGAAAATGGTCAATCTCCGCTCAAGATATATATTACACAATCTAAATCTGGCTGCACAAATCTTTTTATAGCACCCTGAATTCACATGCAGTGAAATCATTCCTTAATTAGCCAAAATAAAATTTTCCTCTTTGAATTAACAAAATTACATACAGCAAAACAATCTTAAGTGGCTTTACCTTGTCCTCATTTGTGCCATTTTCAAATCTATTCACTTTCAGACATGCAATTTCTTAACCGCGAAATACTGTCTTATCCACACAAAAATCAAACAGTCTATCATCAGTGGTAAAAGTTCCTTTTAAGTTCCTTTTAATTTTATTTGTAAAAGCATAAAAAGATATGTCAAAAAACTGAAAGCAAAATTCAGATCCACCCACTTGCTCAACTCTATAGTCCAAGTTTCTTGGGTGTTCTCATTTCAAACAGTCAATTCAAGCTTACTAAAAAACTATGTCTGTAACACCTGACAAGTATTCATGATTGTACTATTGCCAAACCTTAAATATATACCACACAGTCTGGCTCTACACTTCCAAACTTGGGCAACACATACAAGAATGCAAAGAAAGAGAAAAGCATCATAACAAGCAATCAATAACATTAGAATGAAGAGGTCACAGAGGTACACTATGTGATGATATCTGATGCCTAAACAATTTGCTTTTGTCTCTAGCTTATTATGAGCTAACACAAAGGTGAAAGCAGGTTGAAGATAATCGTGGAAAAGATACAGTATTAATGTGACAAATGAACATCAAATTATTAAAAATAAAGTCCAAAATAAAAACAGATGGTAAAGGATACGTAATGAAGTGAACTCCTTCAAAGTGAATGACTTCAGTGATGGATTATTTTCCACTGAATTATCCTCGTAGAACCAATGTGCGTACTCCACAAGGAACAAAATCCTCTCAAATGATTGTTGGTCTTCCTTTGGCACATTTAACACAAACCGACTGCAGCACAATCATTTGACCAAAAAGAATAGACATGAAAAAAAAATAATGGAATATGAAAAGAAAAAGAAAACAAGGCGAAAGATAAACAAGCCGCTATATATGCAATAATATAAGTGCATCGCAACAACAAAACCAAGATACCATGCTAATGCTTATAAAGCAAAGACTATATGAAGATCGTCTTGCTTACTTATGAGAAGAGGTTCAAAAAATTCACTGACATAGCAAATCCAACAAATCCCCAACCAGTTAATGTATTTTAAAAATTCTCAACTCTCCATTTTACTATAAAGAACCCATAGAAAGAACTCAAATCAAGTAACAGTTTGTAAAGTGATCATCCTAAATGTAGATTTAAACATTACTAATTCAACCCTCTGTCATTAGCCAAGCTTTAACAACTAAGTTCCTTGCTTGTTATTCACGATATAGCAAGCCAATTTAGCTTTAACAGCTTATAATAAAATCTGTCGTTATCAACACTATTCTAACGAATTGATCGATTAAACAGCACTATTCTATACATTCCAAAGCAGACAAACGAGAATAAATCAACATTAAACATTTTCGAAATAAAATCTGAGCAACGAAGTAGTTGTTAAAGAGCTGAGCACAAGAATCAAAGCGTGAACGAAGAACAATAAGTACCTGCAAAGATCGTCGAGAAGTTCTTGAGGAGGAAGGCCGCCGTTTTTATACGGCACGCTTGAGGATCGATGGAGACTTGACATCGCCTATACGAAGAAAAACCTAAAAATCGAAAATAAACCCTAAGTGTTTTTTGTGTTTTTGTTCTCTATGTTTTTGTTTTGTACTCTGAAAATTTGGAGAGTGAAAAGGGACAGTGAAGGCTCTCTTTCTCTGGTTTTGGGATCTGGAGTGAGAGCAGAGGAAGCAACGCAATGATGTTTTTAACTGATGTTTTTAACTTTTGGAGCCTCTCTCTCGGTTCTTTTTTTCTTTCTTTTATTTTTGTGTTTTATATCTGACCGGATTATTGCTGAACCGGAATAAATCGGATGACTGTCCCAAATTTTATCATTCGAATGATATCGTTCGCATTTTTCAGATTTTACCGACTTTCAAAATTTAAAAATTATATCATAGATACCCTTTGCCTTAAATATGTTATGTTGTCATTTGCGGTAATAAGTTAAACAATAACTTTAGTCTTATAATAAAATGTTGAAATAAAATAGTAATCTTAGTCTTATAAGAAAGTGTATGCAAACCTAACTAAAATGTAATAGAGTTACAGCTAAGCAATATTTGTGATAAAGTTTTTAAACTTCGAACATCCATTTGATAACACAAGGTGGTATTAGTAATATATTTCTCAAACTTTGAGGTTATTAGTAACAAGTGTAAAAAGAATCATTTAGTTGATAAATTTTGGAGATCTCTAAGGCCTTGGAAGGGGCTCAGATGAGGAACACCCGAAGGAGACTCCTTAGGGGCCTTAGAGGCTTAGGAGCCACCTTTGACGAGTGGCAAATATGACCAAACTCACAGCATTTTGGACATCACTTTGGCTTCCATTCATGCTCGACATCAACTTGGATTGATTCGCTCTCAATCTTGAAAGTAAATTGATGCAAGATAGGCTTGGCAACATCGATCTCCACACACACCTAGGCCTAATCAAGCAGGATGAACTCATAGGTCGATTGGTCGCACAATAATGGGTGACCAACTACACTGGACGCATAGCCTAAGCCCTTATATGTCCATAGAGCAAAAGGCAATCCTGACAATTGGATCCAGACCGGGACTTTAGTGATCCAGAAAGATCTAGGAGATTCATAGGGTTTCCATTGAAGGAGGATGATGTGTTCCCCCCAAACATCCAGGGGCCATTCACTAAAATTTAGCAGAGAGTGGCTTCGTCCTTGAAATGGAAGTAGAAACGGTTCCCCTTGGATAGGACTTGTCGAAGTCCATAAGTTGTCCACACACGTGTGGCACGTGTGGCAATGGACTTGACGACATGGAAAGACATCTTGCATCCGAGAAAAAAACCCTCAAGGCAAAGGTGCCATTGGGCTTGACCCTTCTTGAGCAAATCAACTAGAAGCAAGATTTCCAGATTATCCCCTTTCACATTGTGGTGAGAGTGGGGAAGTGTGAATGGGAACTTAGAGTTGGTGACCTATAATTTGTCGACCCATGTAGAATTGGGTTGAGATAGACTACTCCAAGAAGGGGTAGTCGGTTTGTGTTGGCTTGGGTGGGGATTGGAGGTGGAAGGGTGTGATTTGGTTGTATGGGGCATTTTGTCAAACAGGTGGAGGGGGCGAGAAAAAGGTGATTTTTGGGAAAAATGAGGGTGGAAAAAGGGCTGGGATGGTTTAGAGGGTGTATGAGGGGAGGCTGAGATTGGGGGAGATGGTGGATGGGAGCAGGAGGCAAAACCCGAACAGGCAGAACAGGCACGCGTGCTGGGCTCCTGGGCTGGCCTGGGATTGGCTAGGGCCTTTTCTCGAACAGATTGTGGGCATAAATTTGAATTCCAATTTCTGGTGATCAGGAGGTCAAAAAGGGCAAAATAACATACCAACACAAATAACAGAAAATGATGATTCAGGTGGTGTGTTCGATTAAGGTTAGAAGTACTTCGATCAATCGGAATTGGACTAGAAATTTACCCAACTTCGCAAAGTGGCAAGAAGGAGATGGCCGAAAAAGGAGAGAGAAAATGGCAAGTAGAGTTATGGGTTTTGAAGAGGAGGTCAACCGGATTTCAATGGTGGTTTCGAAAGTGATTTTGGAGGTCGAGATCGGCCGAAAAAGCAAAAAAAAATCGATGGCTTTAGGCGATGCTAATGTGAGCTGGATTCAGCAAACGTGAGCGCGCCTAAGCCAAAAGGAATAGAGACGTGAGCTGTGCTCAAATGAAAAATAAGACAAAAAAAAAATTATCGAAATTTCAATTTGCCCTGTCCCAAATTTTACAAACCCTAACAACGCCTTCTAATGGATGACGACCTTCCGATGACGACCATCATAATTAATACGATATCTTTTCTTCTGCAATGCATTTCTCCTCTATCTTCCTTAGCCCCCACCATCATCATCACTCCCTCTTTCTTAACCCCTCCTCCCGCCGCTTATTCTCCTTCCTTCCCCCCCATTTTCTCCTCATCCATTCGATGATAGCGATGTTGAGTCTGAAAAAAATCAACCGAGTTGGGTGGTTCACATGGACATGGTCGACGAGTTGACTAGCTCATATACTTCATGAAGTACATCCATTCTGCATCAGGTTTTGCTTGATGTTAGAGACGAGTTAATGCCAATATGTAAGAGAATCTTGTAAGTAGGTCTTACTAACTTATTTATGCGGTTTTGATCCTAGGTATCATTATTCTTAGCGTCTTGACTTCCATCTTCTTTCTTCCCTTGCATCTATCTATTAGACAATCTTCCTGTTTTCATATTGTCTTCTCTCTACTATCTTTTTTTCACTAAATAGAGGTCTTAGCTCCCATTTGAATGCCTGATAAGTAGCTTTCTTTTTCTTACCTTTAGGATGTTTCTTATGATTGGTAGTAGTTGGAGTTGCTAGTAGGAAGCTAGGCTATGGAATTGTTTTCTCTTCTTAGGGAGGAGAGCGAGCAAGATTTTACATGTCTAGCGACAGTTTCTAATAGATTTTCTTGTAGCTCCTCTTTTTTCCTTTTTGAGTAGGGATTTCACATAGCTGGTTCGTGAATAAAATACTTGAGACTTGCTCCGTGTTGTAAAGTGAACTCCTTGTTGGGCTAATATGAGCCGAATTCAGCTAACGTATGCCCACCTAAGCAAGAAGGAACAAAGACGCTAACGTGAGCCTCACGAAAAATAAGACAAATAAAATTCTCGAAATTTCAGTTTGCCCTGTCCCAAATTTTACAAACCCTAACAGTGCCTTATAACAGAAGACCACAATAATTACTACACAATCTTTTCTTCTGCAATGCGTTTCTCCTCCGTCTTCCTTCGCCTTCACCTCCGCCACTCCCTCTTTCTTACGCCCTCATCTCGCCGCTTATTCCCCTTCCTTCCCTCTCCGCTCCTCTTCCTCCATCTGATGATAGCAAGTTAAGTCTAAAAACACTTAACTGAGTTGGGTGGTTCGTGTGGACATGGTTGACGAGCTGACACACTCATATACTTCATATACTACTTCCATTTTGCATCAGATTTTTCTTGATGTTAGAGACAAGTTAATGCCAATATATAGGAGAATTGTTGCATTGTAACTACAACATGCAATATAGCAAGTGCACTAGTCACAAAAAAAGTAATAAAGTGATAAGAAAAGTATCATTCCCACGAGGATTGGTTGTTAAGCATTGATTTTTCCTAATTGTTCTCAAGTTGGAGAAACCGAAAGGTGTTTGGATTGACGGGAGGAATTTAAACTAAGATGGAAACAAAAATTACTAAGTATTTAAAAAGCTATTTAATGAAGCAAGATTAAAACAAGAGTAATATTAAGTAAAGCAAACGGTTAGAGTTTTGACTTCATTAGGATTCTATGAATTAATCTACGAATTATGCTACTTCTACATTCACATGCACGAATTGTAAATCGAGCTCCCTAATGTGTAAAACATACCTTCTCAGGCTATAAATTCCTACTTTTCCCTCTTAAGCTTCCGCACCCAACAATTTGAAGATTAATGGATCCAAGTTCATTAAGCTAATGGAATCCTAGATTGATTTCATTGATTCTCAAACCTATCTCTAGCGTTCAATACAACAATGGTGATTTCCCTAAGAAGCTTATACATGATTCATTTCTCAATCTCATCATGTTCAACAAATACTTTCAAGAAAAACAAGAGAAACCACAAAATCCATGCAATAGAACGTAGAAACAACACTAATTCATTGATTAAACATAGAAATCCCAAATTACATCAAAACCCTAACCCAAGATGAGTTAGTTCATACTAAAATTAACACAAATCGCAATAAAAACAGTGAGCAATGTATTCAACATATTGAAACCAAGAAAAGAGAGCAAAGATCTTCCCTATTTGACGAATCCACAAGGTTCAATCTCAGTTCTTCTCTCATTTTTCTCCCAAAATGTTAAACTTACTCTAAACAATGACGAACTCTAAAAAATGGCTAAGTTTTTCTTATATAGTCGGTCCAAAAACCTAAAAATTTTCCGAAAATAAAATTGTGTGTTTTGAATAAAACTGGAAATCACAGACTTCGTCTTCGCCGCGGCTACGAGTTAAGTTGAAATCTCATGCCGCGAACCTTCCTGAACAATTTTGAATTTACGGAATGGCCCTCCGCTTGCTTCCTTGCTCAAATCTTAAATCTTCGATGCTCTCCAATGGGAACAAGCTTCATAGTGCTTCAAATCTGCTTCAGAACTTCCCTGAATTCTGAGATTCGCTTGCTTCTGGGTCCAAAAACTCGATTCCGCTCATTATTTGCTCAAAGTGCACATTTTGGCCTGAAACATAAAATATGTGAAATTAAGTTGCAATTCAGGCACAAACGAAATAAGAAGTATCCAAAATCCGGCCAAAAAGCCTAAATAAAACAGTATAATCCTCGGATTATCAAGAATCTTGTAAGTGGGGCCTACTAACTTATTTATGTGGTTTTGATCTTAGGTATTATTATTCTTAGCGTCTTGACTGTCATCTTCTTTCTTCCCTTACACCTATCTATCAGACAATCTTCTTGTTTTCATATTGGCTTCTCCCTGCTATATTTCTATCACTAAATCAAGGTCTTAGCTCCCATTTTAATGCCTAATAAGTAGCCTTCTTTTTCCTACCTTTAGGATTTTACATATGATTGGTAGTAGTTGGAGTTCCTAGTAGGAAGCTAGGCTAGTAAATGTCTTCTCTTTTTAGGGAAGAGAGCGGGCAAGGTTTCAAATGTCTAGGGATAATTTCTAATAGATTTTCTTGTAGCTCGTCCTTTTTCCTTCGGGAGTAGGGATTT